AAGGTTTGGGGACGTGGTGGGAGGAGGAATGGGGACATGGTGGGAGAAGGTTTGTGTTCCCAGTGGGACAAGGGTTGTTGACACAGCAGGAGAAGTGATGGGGACCCGGTGGCAGAAGGGATGGGGACACGACACAGCACAAGACCCTGCTTAGTGACAAACCACCACCACCATCACGTCCCCAGACCCTTGTCCCCACCAAAACCACTTCCCACCCACCATCCAACCCCCCCAGTTTGTCCCCACAGCCCCGCGGCCTCTCACCCGGCGGCACCGCGCTGTCCCCGTTCCTCTCCCGCAGCTCCAACCTGATGACCCACCAACGTATCCACACCGGGGAGAAGCCCTACGAGTGTCCCGAGTGCGGTCGGAGCTTCACCGTGAGTTCTGCTTTAATTAAACACCAAAGGACCCACCGGGAAGAGAAGCCCTATGAGTGCCCCGACTGCGGGAAGAGCTTTATCCGCTGCTCGAACTTCATAACCCATCGGAGGACCCACGTTGGGTAGAGATCTGGTGACTTACGTTGGGCAGAGACCTGGCTGGAGGTCCAAATGTCTTTCCATGGATGAACGCGGGTAGGAACATCCATTTGGTGAGGTGGGCTCTGCTGTGGGACACAGACCAACGGAGAAATCCATTAAGAAGAGTGGACTCATCGGCTTTAGACCCCAAAAAGTCACATCTGCTCAGTCCAATAATTTCTTCTGGTGGCATCAAGCAACACCAGATGGATGACGGGCTTCTTCCACAGCCAACTGGTGAATGGATTTGGGCACAGATCGAGATTTTGAAGACACTGCTTGGGACTTAACTTCTTCAGGAAGAAAGAAATAGGGTGGAAGTGGTCCCATAACCCTGTTGGGACCCACAAGGCCAAGTTCTTCCTCATTTACAGGTTATTTTTTCCTTCACCTCATATTCGGTGGCACGGTACAACCTCTCTCCTGCCCATCTACGATTCATCTTTGGATGAATAAACTCTTGAGTTGTCCAAAGGGCTTTGGAAGAGGCTCCAGCAACATCTTAGGGATGGAGATGGGCACAGTCTCTCCACAAACTCCACGTTCCACTCTTGTTCTCTTTGTGCTGTCAAAAATAAGAACTCAGCTGTAATAAATGTTTTTTTCTCCACTCGCCTCCTTGGTTTGGCCTTCTTTGACCCAAAACACCTTGTTTTCATGCAGGCTGGGGCTTGGCCATCTCTAGGGTTGAGTTTTCCCACTGGTGCTGCAAGGATGGGAGTGGTGGGACGACAACGTGGATGGGTGGAGGGTGAGGAGGACACGTGGGCTCCAGGTGTCCACATTTTGGAAGGATGTTGCACCCCTATGACATAACCATCAGCGCCAAAAAAAACTCAACCTCTGCTTGGTTTGAACCCTCATCCTTGTCCAAGGGAAACGGAGAGGGATGGAAAGCCCCATCCCAGCTCCAGGGACTCAACACCAGTCCCACCACCCCTGCAGAGGATTCCGGAGGGGTCTGTCACCTTTTGGGCAGAGAAGATGCTCCCGCCCACCCAAAATTGGGAGAATTTTTTTCAGTTTTACTCCTCCAAAAAAGGTTCTTTTCCCCAACACAGCTCCTGCTGCGTCACCACCACAGAGAGACTCACACGATGCCAACACGCAAATGCTTTTATTTTGGCCACGATTTTCTTTCGAACCAGCCCCTTTCCTCAAAAAAAACCAACCCTAAACACGGTTGAAAACATCAAGAAACGGTACCGAGACATCGAGAAACATCGCGGTTTACCGTGATTTCTTGTTTCTTGGGTGAAGCTCATGGGTCTCCCTTCCATCCCATCCCCTCATCTGGAGTCTAAGGCAAATCACTCTCCCCCAAAAAACCCTTTATATATAAAATTGTATCAGGAAAGAAAAATAAGAGCTGGTGGATGAGATGGGTTCTCCTCGGTGCCACCACCGGGGACCACCATCACATGTAGGTAGGTCTGAGATGCCACCAGGAGGGGGACGGTCCCCAATTGGGTGGTCTCCATCTTTGGCCGATGTCTCTTGCGATGCGAGACATGACCGGAGCTACGCTGAAAGCTCTTGCAGCGGGGGTTAAAGGCCGACACAGGTTGTGGGGAGCGGGGACGAGAGACGCAGCAACATCCTCCTCCATGGCCGTCACCTCCGTGGGGACAACCCTAAATGGGGACAAGCCCAAAAGCCATCACCCCACTTTTCTCCGGGGTTGGGGTTTTGCCTAACCCCACTTTTCTCCGGGGTTGGGGTTTTGCCTAAAAAAAGGCATTTCTGGGGAAAAAAAAATAAATAAAAGATGGTGGGGAACCCCTCTACTTCAGCACCCACCTGGGGTGGGGAAGGTCGCTGCACCCCAGGAAGGGGGGATTTTGGGGGGCAGCAGAGATTTCTCCATCACTCTGCACCCTAAAGGTGAGATGGGTCGACCCATCTCCCCTTTATATAACATTATTATTTTATTAATAGAAAATAACCCCAAAGCGGTATTAAACCGCAGGTTATTCACACCCCCATTAATTTTCCAGCCACCGCAGTCGGACATTGATGCTGCGACAGGAAGAGCAGAGACCGATTTTTGGGTCTAAATCTCCCTAAACCAGC